AAAGAAACATCATATATTGCGTCTCTCCAATCACAAGCCAAACATTTGATCTAAGAGGTCTGTGAGGTCGGGTTTGTCTCTTCAAAGGCATGCCGCTGCAATGCCCAACTTGTGTTTTCAAAACAAGACTAGTAAAGTACACACATGCTCATTTTGAACTCTGCACGATGTCGGATCATGCATACATGCGATATCTGGTTTGTCAAACTAATTGTACACCACAGTGAAACTGTGGGTCTCACTTAACTTGATTAAGGTTGATGCAGAGGAATTCAAAGTCAAATTTATAGACTAAATTCAAAGATGTCTAATTTTCAAGAAGATAATACTTGATGATTATGTTGTATAAACAAAAATGTTATACCAATGATACTTTTATTGTTTTAAAAAGATTTAAGAATGCTCATTAATTTTTTTTCATTTTCAGATGTTATTTTATATTTGGAAAAAATACAATTTTTTTAAAATATATATAAAATATATTTCAGTAATATGGATTTTAAATTTTGTTTGATATATAAGTTTCTTAATGTTAAATATAACAATATGACAATTTGCAAGATGAACAACATATCATGTATGAAAGTAAGGTTTTTCATCTATTATTGTTACAACAGTATGTATCAAAATTTTAAAAATTCAGCTTGAATGTGTAATAGCCATTAGCACGATATGTAAAAAATCTATAAACATGAGAAAAAAATTGAAGTGTCCAGAGAGACTGAGGAGCTAAAGGAACACTATCGCTCTTTGATGCTGCTAGCGATCAAATTTGAGCTTTTACTCGAGAATTATGGGCCGGTTCAAATATTCTACAATGTACTTAAGGTCCTCGAGTGAGCTTGAGTAGATGTCATCGAGTGATCCATTAGCTGGTGTATCCAACGTTGGAAGTCAAGTGGGGTATTTGAGATGCAGAAAGTGTTGTGAAGCTTTTGATCTTGGCATAGAGATTTGAGGAAGCACTGATCACTGCAAGCTAGAACCATGCCTCATCGATGGAGAGACCACCATCCATTTGCCACCGTCATCTTGGAAAATCTAGCAAATCAAACCGCAATTTATCACAGTTCAATCCGCTTTGCTTCGGAGTCCTTGAGTTGTTAAAAAAAAACACAATTGACAAAAAAATTAAATTTTTTTAATTTTAATATTTTTTAAAAAATTTAATAATATGAAGATATTCAAAATTGTATTAATTTATATCAAAATTTTATAAATTAAATTTATCAATTCAGTTAAATAAAGTATTCATTTTATGAATCAACTTGAATACAAACTTGAACTCTAGCTTATGCTCCTTTTGTTGGTTTAAAAAAAATATTTATGCGAATAAAATATAGCATCGTAAGATTTAGTTTTCTGTATTTTCAGAATTAACTTGTAGGTTATTAAATATTAAATTAAAATAAATTAAAATTGAATGTATTATTTATAGTTTTTATATTTAATATATATGTATTTGATGGAAAAAATTTGAGTGTGAGATATTATTGAGTGACAAATAAGTAATTTTTTTTATTGATATTAAAAACATCATCAATCGCAAAAGTTGGGATTAAAGATTATAGAAATCTATTGAACTCTTGCATCATTTGGAAAAATTTGATGAGTTTTTATCTAGCTATGAATTATATTTATCTAGGTATTTTTCATGTCTATATATTTGAGTTGTAAAAGTAAATATTTATTTTATAAATGTTAGATTTGATCAGAAGTAAATCTAAAACATCATGTTTTTATCAAGCTAAAAAATCTATATAATTTGATAAGATAAATTTATTAGTTTTCAAGTCTGTGTTTCAGATTTGTTTTTGGTTTAACCGTAATAATCATTGCTAACCTTTCATAGAGCTCAACATAGTAATTATTATTAAGTATGTGAAGATCATGATGAGATCTAGATCATTTCATGTTAAGATTTTGGATTTGAAGTAATAGAAATGGTCTATGCAATGACTTTTATCGTAAGATTTTTATAACACTATTTCAAACTAATTTCTTTTGGATTAATAGAACATATGCATACAAATTTTTCCCAATACTTGTATATTTTGATTGAGTTTTTACTGATCTAAACAAAATTTTTGAACATTTCTTAGTATAGATGTTTTTAGAATTTTATAAATAATAAAATTCATTTAATTATTTAAAAAAAAACTGATCATATGAAAAATATTCAACTTCGTAATTTTTTCAAAAATTTTCTTTTATCTTCGGATTCCACATGAATATAGATGACGTGGTACTTCAAAAAAATCTAAAGCAAAAGATGTCAATGCTCATGATGAATGGGTTTTGTTTATCATATAACAACTAAAGAAAGAGTAACAAGTTGATGACAAACAAAAGGAGCATCTAGTGGGCTCCATACTCTAAAGTCATCTAAGTGCAATACTCGTCAACAATGTTTGACAAGTATTGCTGTTTTATTACTATAAACTTCAAATACGTATATCTTAAGTATGTACCTTGTGCTAACAAGTTTCAAACACATGTAATCATTATCAGCCTGCTGTTCCAAAGTTCAGACAACGTCTGTAACCATGGTCGAGATTCCACCTACAAGCTTCATATTTTAAGAGTACTCTGATGACTGACCACAAATTTTTTAAAAATGTTTCTTCAGATTATTGATTATGATGGAAAACTGGCTACCCGGTCAAATATTGCACATACATCACTGCTTTCTTGGATATTCCATGCTTGTGCAAATGATTGAATTGTGGAATGTCGACGTGGTGACGATAAGGGTTGATAGATGACACCATTCATTGTGAAAGAGAAAATCACGAGAACAGCTTTTGCACTTATAACCTCACGTAGCTGAGAAATGAAGATCTACAGCAGTTTTCGGCCACCCATGGCAAGGTTTGCAGTAGTTATTGTAGCGTAGATCAAACTCATCCCTCTACTGTACACAATGTTTCTGTAGACTGTTATAATAGCCTTGTTTTTGGTATCGACACAACATTATGATATTTTCATTGGACCGTTTAAAAGCAGAACATATCATAATCGAATCAATGGAGACCCCAGATTTCTAAATTTGCCAACTCGGATGTGTCTGACATCATGGTCCGCAGCTAAGGTTGCACGGACTTCACGTATGTGACAAAGTACAGGAACTGTCGTGTTCACCATCTGTCCATGTTGTTCCTGATGTCCACAATCCATATCTGAATCCACATCAAATACAGCTAGAGTCAACTCTAGAGCTGCACAGGCAGTTTGTTCTCCCGGTACGTCAATTTGTTTGTATACTAGTCAATCTATATCCTTTTATCATGTGGTTGTGTAGTGTCCAGTGCCTCTATAGTGAAAAATTTTCGTCTTTCAATTATGCAATCCATATATGTCCCATTGTTTCTGATCATTTGTGTTCTTCTAACTCACTTTGACTAGACTCGTAATGTGATCTGGAGGTGAACGCACATGTTTGTACTTGCTTATCTTCATACATCGCAATTACCTAAGGTAGTACTGCATTTTAGCGAAGACAGAACCACCTCGTTTCTTGAATCGAAGTTATGGCTTCCAAACTTGCTATCAAGTGGCTTCACCAACCGAAGGAAGGAGAATCACTTGTTACATTGAAGACATCTCTCTCCATTCCTTCCAACAGTTTCAGCAGATACTTTCAACATGTTTTACTGGATTCTGAGAGGTTCTGATTCTTATTACTGAAGAATGTACATGTGGATTGAACATCAACTAAACACCATCATGTCTTCTGAAGATGAATCCAGAGGGGCAAAACTGACATTAAACCTGGCTCTAGTAAGCAATGATGCCTTCATTGCTAGAGAAGAACAAAGATACCACTAATGAAAGGTCAACTGAGAATTGCTCTCCGTTACATGTGAGGAACTGTTGACTAAGTATTGCGACGAGTGCTTCCAAAAGCAATCCAATACACGTCATCAATCATGAGGAGAAACTTTAGTAAAAGTCAAGAAATTGGATGCAATTCACTAAAAGACTAAATATGCATAGAGATGATCATATTAGATCTAGTCATTTTTTGGAATTTCTAGTGATACAATTCCATGAATCATGATTGATGCCATGTATTGGATATGATAAATCCATGACAACCTTCAGAGTCATGTGATGTACTGATGTGTGATTTGATTCAACTGGAAAAGACTACTGTACTCAGACACAAATTCCCCAAGGAGTTGACGCACACAAATCCTTGTTTGGTCCGCACGTGCCGTAGGAACACAAAACCCTTAACTCAAAATCAAATGAGTGCCATAGAGAATCTACTCCCGCTAACTAATGGTATGTAATGGTTGCAAACAAATCCAACTAACAATTCGAACGAACTAGAATTAACTTCTAAGAGTTATAGATTTTAACATTGATTATGACTCATAATCAATTTCTCATAATTTATGAGGAATAAAGAACTGCTTATTGGTTACATTGGGAATCGGTCGAGGGCAAAATGAGTTGATTAGTAATCAATAACAAGTTTTAGAATTGAATTGAGTAGAGTTTGACTTAAATCGTAAACTTGGCCCGATAATACTCTAAACGAAGTTAAGGATGCATATGATGGTTCATGTCTAGAGCATGTTGTTGTCATGTCAAGCTTGAATTGTGTTATGTCATTGACGGTGGATGAATACTACTCAGTAATATTCATCTGTCATCCGTCAACATTTGAAATAGTTGATATTCCAAGATTTTGGATCAAGCATACAACTTTCTTTTGGTAGCATATTTAGTATCTCAAGTTTCGCGCACAATACCACCAACTCATTAAGCATCAGAACAAGATCTTCCTGGTCGATTGCAACACACACCCTTCGGTGATAATAATACAGAAATCCAACTCTATTACGCTCACACGAAAAGTACGAACAGCTACAAATGATTTATACAAACCCCTCAGCCCTAATGCTCAGCAGAAGACACATCTGAATTCGAAGCTCCATCTCCCAATCATAAATCAACAGGTGCGTACATATACCAATAGCAGCAGATCACAGACAAGAATTAGGCGGAAACATCCGCTCTGATTTACTCCGTTAATCCTCCATTGAATTCATGGTAGAAATATCAAGAACCTGTACACTGTCTATCTGACGGGCTAAGCCCGAACATGTAACTGACTGGAAAGCTCCTACCACAAACGAAAAAAAGAAGCGAACTGGAAATTGAAGTCCTCGGTTTGTACTTCAGACTTAACTGCTGACTACTTTCCTGTTCGTATGTAGGTAGAAGCTCCTACCATACATCAATCTTCGTTCACAACATCCTTAAAGGTACGGTTCGGATCAACAAGGGCAGTCTCAGTGACATCTGGTTCTCTCTCTACCGAAACCACATCGTGTTGCTCAGGCTGATGCATTGATTGTTCAGTCGGCGTGGCACCTTCAGCTGGTACTTCGACTACAGCCTCTCCATTTTGAGACGGGGGGAGTGAGTTCAGAGGAGCAGATCCAGATCCATAGCCACTTTCGCCTACAAATTGCGAACTTGAGGACGACCCGACAGCTGACTTAGGACGTCTAATTGCTTCGTGAGCACCTGGGTAAATCGGCTGCGGAACGGAAGGTGGCACCCAGCCAGATCGTGTGCCTTGGTTGTAGACAGCTGGGCTTGGGACACTAGCCTGCACTGGTGGAACCTCATTTTCTGTTACCGGATCAACCTCTGTTATCTTTACCGTGGGAGGACTCGGTAAAACCTCGGCTTCGGTCTTTTTTCGCCACCACGGCTCCGACGAACCCCCAGTTCCTGAGCTACTTGCAGCTTCTGTACGTACAGTAGAATTGTACCCAACATTGTTCGCAATGTTTCGATTTTCGACATGTCTTCCAGGCTGTTGTTCAACTTCACTATTATAAATGGGGCTAATTGGTCGAGCTTCCGAACTACTCTTCTCCCATGGCTACACAGAACAAGATATGCTTCAATGAGTGACCAAGGCATGCATTTGCTAAATTAAAAATACAACAAGCGAGTGGAACAAACTAATTAGAGAGGCCATAAAATGACCATCAGATCTAAAATACAGAGTAGACAGAATACACAAATCCACACCTTCAATATCACATTTTCTAAAATCAAGCACTACAAACACTGCATAACGATGATAAAGACCTTGAAGGACAAATACTTCTTCGAGATATAATTTCCGACATTAAAATGGTAGAAGGAAATCGGAGATAGAAGATAAGCCACAGCACACACAAATCCACACAGACATGAAGCGAAGCACATGCCTTTGGCCTTGGTTGTAACCGAGGGTTTGAGGGCGGCTGATTGGGATTTGGAGGTTTATCATTCACCTCCTGCAGGTATGACCCCCATTTGGAAGTCCCAAGACAAGTTGAAACATATTAAGAATAACAAAGATGTGAGCTGTATCCCTTCACATTAAACTTTGACAAAAATTTACAAACCCAGCCCAGTCTAGGTTAAATCTGGTAAAAGAACAGATAGCTTCCCGTTCACGTTCTCCAAAAAAGATCGAAACAAATCAACGTACCCTAATTCCCGGGGGCTTTTCTCCTCGTTCCAACATTGCAATAACCTGGAAAGAGAGGCTGGCTTAACTTTTTTACATTTACAGGTCCACGGACAAGAGACAGAAGTTTCCTTTCAGAATAAGGACCGTGACAAGGACTAGGGCGAGAGGACAAATCGTAAAGAGGGAGAAAACGTGCGACTCGTTACGAAGGAAGGGTGGTTACAAAAGACGAGTGGACAAGGAACATGTACTTTTCTCACAGGCAGATTTTGAAATACACCAATGTTTTTCTATTTGCATATCCTACCAAACTCCGAACATAAGAAAGAACTCACATCCATATACGATTGAGAGTGGGGAGCTTGGGTTGGCACACTGGTCGGCGACGCAGTCATCGATCTCGCTGAAACCCCAACGATCATAATCAGCAGAGAAAGTCAGAAAAATTGTATGGTAGAATAATATATATGGAACAAGCATTTATCACTGATCGTCCCTGTCTCCTAAATCGTACAAAATTTAAATGTCATCGAATCACTACCCAGTTCTCAATAGGACCAATGTAGACAGCGACACAGAAAAATTTTACATAAATTTGAAAAACAGAAATGAAACCGAGTCCAGTATAGAAAGACATTCTTGCTTCACTGCGGTATTTACATGCCACCTTGCGTGGACAATGACGTAAAAATGATCGAAATTTTACGACCCGACCAAAGAATAAAGAATCACCTTGATGACCGAGGTTGTAACTCCCGTTCGCATGCTCTGGTATTGATGCACTGTTAGGAGCCTGCCAAGAGTAGACCACATTTGGTGAGGTAAATATCAATAAAAATTCAAACCTCCAATCCTATATCCATGCACAAGGATTTGACAAAATAACAGATCCTCAGTTACAGATTTGTATGATCCAAATATCAGATCCTCAGTTACAAGCGGAATTCAAAAATGTTTCCTTATTCTCGCTAAAATACAAGTCATCGGACAAGACACAAAGCATGGAGCAGAGCAAATTACCCTGAATGCTTTATCGCCCCTAATTTCAGATGCGGACGAAGGTCTGGACCCATTTGTCTGACCTGTTTGATGTAAACGTACATGTTTAGCTTTTCCTAATCAACTGCCTGCAGTGATTGCTGGACTGTGACTAAGCTGAGAGATGCTCATAAAGGGAAAAATAATATACAGCTGACGATATACATCGATCCAGCTATAGCAAACTGGCTTCAAGCAAAAGTCGTTAGCTGAAGGTTAATAGATGAAAATTGTTAAAAACAACAACAGAGATTAAGTTCCACAGAACATAAAGCAGCAGCAGATAAGATTTGAAGCCCTTTACGCAGATATTTGTCAACCCGCATCCATAATCTCACGAAAACATTCAAAAAGCGAGTAATACCTGTTTCGGTATAACCATGGAATAACGCAAAGTACAAGACAAACCTTTCCAGTAGTCTAAACTGTCGAAACCGTTCGCTTGACCGCTGACTGGCACAGAACGGGGATATTTGGTAATTTCTGAACTAAGCGCGGCGTCTTTCATGCCTGCTAAGGCGTTCTTCAGCTCCTGTGTTTGAGCTTCAACAGCTCTGATGATATTGTCAAGGCGCTGGCGATCTGTACAAAATAAATGAGCAATTCATGAGCACTTCTTGAACTGAATTCCACCGACGAACTCTTAGAAATATATCTGTTAAAAGATATTCATTACGTATGACAAAGATTAGATAACCGTTTGTGATTTCTACTCTGAGAAGTTGAAGGACTTCATTCTGTATTTGCTCATAAATAATGGATCTGCTTCACACGCAGGTAATAAAGGTCCACTAAGACTATACATTAATCTTCCTTCTTCTATTGACAAGGGGTAGGAAAACAGAAAATTCACCTTCGGCTCTAGAGTGAGCAATCTCCTGCATTGCTCCAGCCATTTGAGTGGCTGCTGTGGCAGCGGCTGCAGCAGCGGCGGCTGCTTGAGCGGTTGCCTCTTCCACCGGGTTTAGCTTTTTTGGTTTGATAGTTTCAACAGGGGCACTCTCACCCAGAACAACATAACGAATCCAGTGCTTGAACTTCGGAAGAAGAAACCTCTAAAAAGAAGACATATGCCGACAGAAAAGTTTCAGAACCCAGGTGGGTGCAGGCTGAAAGACTTGTCCAGATAAATTACAAACAACAAATGAAACAGTGGTATGATAGTAGAGCAGTATGAGTTCCTATGAACCAATGACGTTTGAATCTATTAATTGATGTCGTCTAGATTCAATTGCAGAATCTATCAATGAACGTGAATCGATTCCCTACAGTCTGACATGACCAACAAAAGTTTTTTGTAAGAAATTGGATCACATTTGCATGATTCCTCTGTCAGTAAATTTCATTTGTTTAACATACAGGTGACTAAGAGTAGCACCATTAGAGAATACCCCACTCGATTTGCCCAAACCAAAACGAACGTTGTTCAATGGCCATTGTAACAACGACGCCACTTAAAGGCCACGCAAATTTTCTCCAGAACTAGAAGCTAGTATTGGCCCGGGTTAGATGACCGAGGGAAAGATAATTTCTCAAATTTGTAGCTTATCGTCAAACCTTGGTAAGAATGCCTGCCCCTGCTCCAGCAGCGGTTAGCACTCCAAGCGCAAGAACCATCTGTGCCCAGCTTGTGGACTTCGGCTGCGTCACTGCCAACTGGCCCCCGCCTGGCTGCATTGCTGGCATCTGTTTTGGGATAGCGACAGGGGTTGATTGAGCACCTGCGATGCGATGCCACAATCCAGTCAAAATTTAGCTGACTCGATTCAGCATCTTCTAAAACTACAGTATCTTAACTGCCATCTACCACTTCATTAACAAAACAAGTCTGGAACTGATACACATGCGCGGGTAAGTGGCTCAAGACGCAAACAGAAGATGAGCGCCAATGAACAGTAAAGCCCAGGCAAAATTAAGATCCTCCATCAATTCCAATTACCTGCGGTTGGTAGCGTGCCAGTTGACGAGTCAGATGGAGGATCCTGTGATATGAAGAGAGGGCAATCTCAGCCATTAGCTAGGTGTCAAATTGTCCAACGCAGCAAAAGTTCTAGTGAAAGAATTCTGCTTATATGGAAAAAAATTATTGAAATGCTACTCTGTCCTCCCCAGCCCCACTATCACATGGCTAACAGGTTAAGTAACATGCTTTGCACCCTTGCCACTGAAATGGCATTCGCGCTCCGTTATAGGATGGAAGCAGAACTTACGGGGACCCGCCGAAAGGCTTCATCAATCTCCTCTCTCGACAAGCCTTTCTTTTCCAAAAAGGATCTCCGGTATACAATTGGTGACCCTTTCACTTTAGGATGAGAAAGAAACTTGACTGCATTTTCTACTTGATCCTCACGGATTGGTTGTGGTTCGATAAATCGCCAATTGTCATTTTTCGGTGCTTCAGAAATGTTCGATGCTTCGCTACCTGTTCACGCTCGACAGAAAACGAAGTCCATAAGCCACGGTAGCCATCACTTCAGTTCCGAAGATAATCGTACGACCAATTTGAGGAGGTCTGATTGGTAGCTCACAGATACGCACTCATGCTAGATCCATCAAGTGATATTACCAGGTAGAGTCGTTGCAGCAAGGGGCGTTGGAGATGCTGCAGGAGGTAAAAAAGGCTCGCTGACGGTGGCGGCCATGGCTTCTCAACTCTCCACTCTCAGTTCCTCTCACAATTCCACCATCTGTTCAATGTCAACTGCAATACCGTCTCACTTAAGTTGATCAGCACAAACGAAGCCTCACGTAATTTGATATGTCCCCGTTTGGCGTCTTCACTAGAAGAATTTGAAATCTTCAATGAAAACAAGAGATAAGAAGAAAGCGAGACGTATTTTGAAACTCAAGAAAGAGTGGAGACCAACACCAATAAAATCATCGGAGAGAGAGAGCTAAATTATGTTTCTGTTCGCTTCTTCAATTCTGCTATACCCGCAAATTTGTCCACCTAACCGTTCATGATCGCATGTTGGTCACAATGATCTAAATGACGTAGTCTAACACCAAGACCTCTACAAGATACTTGAAAGGCTAAAATCTCTTTCGGATAAGGGTTAAAGATGTGTCATTCTCGGCCACACTCTGAATCCTTTCTATGTAATCAGCCCACAAGGGCCCCGATGACAATTTGAAAGTAGATGGTGAAATGCATGCGGTATGTTTAGATTGGTCAACGCGGCTCAAGCCATGAAACCTCACGCATATGGAATTCAGTATAAAACCTTCGACAAGCGATTTTTCACCCATGAAACGCGATCGCAGCCGAATCATTACTAACTCACACCTAAACATCGGGGAGAGACATTATCTGCCTTAAATGTCTTAACTTCTCATACCTATAGCCTGCTACTCCGAGCGGCAAGACTATACCTCTTCTTCTTGCTGTGGGCAAACCCCACGCGAGAAAAAAAGGCATAGGATACCCAACCGAAGCAACAAAACCGAGAGAAATTAAATTCACATGATGGGAAAATCTCTGAAGAATTGAGAACTGATCATCCAATTCCAATACCGATAACAAAAAAAGAAAAATCAGGAATGCGCCTCGAAGAAGAGTGCGAATAAACCTCGCAGAAATCTCACTCTTAAACTCCTCGGAGACTAGCCAGTGTGCTGGACATGGAGAATGAATGCACCAGATTGCAAAAATCTGAGAAACAACAGAATCGAGCGAACCTCTGCGTATGAAGCGATGATCGTCGACGAACTGCGTGCCTGCTCTCGTTCCAGCCGAGGAGATTAAGTGCTTCTGCACTGCGTCGAGCACTGTTGCTGGGTCTTTGAAGACGAGGATGAGAGTGGTTCAGTTTCTTCGGACAACCTGGGGACAATCCACCCATCCGATGTGCTGTAATTTCCTCCATATATAGTCCGCAGGTTTTTAACCATCACATCCACCGTGGTTATTCGAGGTCAGACCGCTGACGCTTTTGGATTTGCATCGCAGTAGACTGCCGCTCAACCGAGTAGCGCGTGTGCTTCTCAACGTGTACTGCGGTTTCATGCTTTCGTCGTGGTTGGTGACGAGCACGGGACTGTACTGTCTCGTTCATAGCAATTGTCTTTAGCCACGTGGAAGTTCTGCACCTGTCTTTACAGTGGATCTTATTACAAGTTCAATAAATAATCTTTAAGTTACATATTAGCCCCGAAATGTACTTCCCCACCAATTATCCCAAGTATAGTTTCTCAGCTATATAGGTTGCTATTGCCCATTCTTGGGACCACATGCCTTCACTCCACCTTTGATTACATCTTCACGTTTTGGAGCTTCACATTTTAGAAAAACAGAAAGCTTCCTCCTAGAAAATGTGGCCACATTTTTTTATGTCAAACCTTATGAAACGCTTATTTTGATTTTCTGGAAGTCATTTTTTACCTTCGGACCCAGAGGCACGTAAAATAATTCCAGGTCATAGAGCTCTTCGTGCGTTTGTAAGATCTTTGCACTTAGCGCCGTCGTTGCAAGCTTTTAAGTAGAGTTCTCTTCAGAAGGCATGTGGCCTTGAGCAAAATTTGGGCCCAAGGTGCAAAGCTCTCGGCCAATGGTCCAAAGGCTGCAAGACTCAAGGCGCCACGAGCTCGACCAACCGTTCTTACTCCTCCTGGGGATTTCCAATGCTTCACATGTCCTATTACTCGTTATTGTCTTCAAGTTGGTTCCTCGAGGAGAGAAGAATCATGGAGAAGAAACTACTTGAACGTTTTAAAGATGTCCAGTTTACAGTGTGATTTTGATGAGATTTTTTTGAAAACATGCCATGCACATGAAAAAGAAGAAAATTAACAAGATAAATTTACAAAATATCCTTCATTTTCCTTTTACATACATAATTATACAACTATTATATTTGAAACGCTGAGAGGACCTTCACTATGCTAAATCAGATCAAGTGCGTCTAAGGCTCATTTGTCTTTAGTTTTTTAATCCCGGAGGGCCTTGCGCGATTCTTGTGGTCACTACGGTAGAAGTCAATCATAGCTTTCAAACAAATGGGAAGAATATTGTTGGCTATTATATGTTTGAATACGCATCACTACATCCACATCTGCATGTTCAGAGGAATAGCGATCATGAAAGTGTACTTTTATTCCTCCAAAAGCGTGAGGAAGAGAACATATCGTTAGACCACAATAGAGAAACTTGTAGATGTCATCCTTCGAAGAAGTTACTACTTCGGAGTAGGTTAGTAGTGAAACGGGCTAAAACAGCAGACTGCTAAAATAAGGGAGGGACGTGCGCGCCACTACGGGATGGGAGAAAGCTACCTAACGCTTACGCAATAAGCGTCCTCAAACAAGCTCAAAGACAAAGAGCGCCAAATTTAGAGGCAGCAAGTAGAAATCACGTTCTGAATCATCCCGTGGGAAAAGTCCTTCCGAAAGACAGGGTTAGGGAAATTCAACAATGAAATAAAAAACCCGGGACCTGTCCAAAGGGTAGGACAATGCAGTGGGAGGCATACAGTGTCGATCTCTGTGTCATGGTGGAGAGATCAGTGAGGGGAAGAGTTGAGAAAGCTTTTCTTGCCGCGAATTGAACACTTAGAGCATCGATTTTCTTTCCGTTTCGTCGTGTAGATCGTGTTATCTTGCACTTGCACTTGTTTACGTACAACTTGAAATCTGGTAGGTTCGTGCGTTTCTCCAGAAGCTTAGGACGTGATTTCAGGACCAGTTTTATTTGAAGATCCTTCATTTTGTCGACTCTGGGCGGTCGGCCTTCAGTGTGTCCTCCGCCGTACCCTTGCTCGAAGCTATCTTAATCGCGTCACATCGTCTTGTCGGAGGATCGTTTTTATGTTTGTGATTAGGTGGAAGTCTGTCGATGCATTGTTGTTCACGGAGTTTCGATGTTAGATGGTTCGCCGAAGTGACTGTAACACCACTATCGACGACTGAGGAGCTAATTAAATAGTTTAAGAGCGAAATGTTTATTTACTGTTCGAGAACATGATGATCATCTGTAGAACCTTTTACCTATCTTCAGATTATGTCGTTTGCTCTCTCCGTAATCTTTTGAATTTAGTTCACACATTTGAAAGTCAACGCCGGCTGATATCCGTTTTCCCACAGATATCTATTCGTATGATAACTATTGCCGCATCGTCATTGATCAGTCGTTGACACTGATTGTAGATGGAGAATGCTAGAGTTCTTAGCTCTTGAAGCTGTTGAAGCTTCGCATTCTTACGTGGTCATTCCGAGTAGTTCTTTGATATGCTATAGCTTTTCATTTTAGGGCTTGAGTTGCATAAAATGACCATGTTGATCAGTTGTCTGATAAGCATATGAGCCTGATCAATGTTTGGAATTTGAATGCTGAAACAGCTGAACTCTGGGGAGACTGTGAGGAGCGTTGATACCACTGACAAGAGAAAACTTGTGAGATTTGTTTAAAAGGCAGCAATTATGGTAAGTACTGTGCATTTCCACGCTCATTTTAGCCAATCTATGACAAATACTTTCCCTCAAATCAATGCGAAAGGGGCTGGTACTTCAGTTTCAAAGCTTCCTTTGCCGATCGCTCATCACAGTCAGTTGGGATTTTCAAAAGGAAGTCAAAATTATACTTGTAACTGTTGTGTAATAACAACTGCAAGAATTCAATTGTTCCATCCTTTGACTCACTTAAGAGACATATACTAATTGTTGGCGGATGTCTAACGATACTAGGATCCCAAAGTTGCTGCCCAAGGACAGCTTCATGACAATGCAGATACTACTCAAAGTACCGCTGATCTCACTGCGTTTGTAAGTTCCCTCGAATTTCTGATTTGGGATTCGGTTACATGAGATCGACATTTTGGATTCATGCATCATAACTTGTCATGAACACTTAAAACTGGCGATTGCAATAACATACTTCGTTTTCTGTTTGCTCCACAGGTGCAGAATCTTCTCCAACAAATGGTGAGTGTTGGAGGAATGATTTATGATGATCGCAATTTTGAGATTGTATTGTTGATTACTTGACTTATTTGATGACGGTCACATACCTCACTTACAGGAACAGCAAGGTTAAAGTTTCCATTTGTATACAAAATTTCTAAGTTGGGTGCTTCTGTGGGATGATGCAGCAAACAAGATTCCAAACTATGTCGGACTCGATCATAACAAAGAATATCCTTTTGAAGCGACCTTCAAAACTAACCTATACATACCTGTTGATCTCTTTCGGCTCGTTGTTTGTGGGATTGTGGATGTTGCAGAAATGTTTGTTTTTGAAATTTTTTTCTCTACACGAAATGTAATTTAAGATCTCTGCAATTATGAAAATTGGTCCGCAACTGTCCTTAACTTTGACCTACTCGATGAAATGGGCAACAGAATTGATGACTTGGAGAAGAGCATTGGAGACCTTATCAAGGAGGTGGGTGTGGAACCTGCAACACCACAACAACCCAACAATGGCCCAGCTGATTCTTCGAAGAGTAGCATTACTAACTCTTAGATTGGAGACATACTCCATTTTTTTATCTAGTCATGCTGTCAAAAGCAACACCGACCTCTCACCAGGGATTCAATACAAATGTTGGTTTCTTTGAAAGAAACCAAGGTGTATAGTTTTTTGTGCCTGAGGTGAATCTGACGAACATATTTTCATCCCCCAGGTGTGTTGTTGCATAACGGTTGATATTCCCTTATCTAGTTTATTCGAAGCCTAGAGATATCCAAGGCCAGTGCACCCGGATTCATAAGCTAGAAGTTTGACCCTTGAACGAGACAAAAGTGACTTCTTCACATGCTTTTGCTGCAGATTTCTAAAGTAGGTCTCTTAATCTGTAAGTGGAGTTTTTTGTTTATACAGTGATTAATCGCCACTTCTGATTTTCGTTATCTGTAAAATGAAAACGTGGTCTCATGTATGTCATCAGCATATCTGCTTCCGTGTTTCGTTATTTGATTATTGAATGTCGAAATCATGAGAGTTTGAAATTTTTTTAACTGGAAGATTTGAAGTCTACGACACACGACAGAGCACACAATTAAACATTACTCATGAACTGGGTGACACCAGTGCTAGTTCTCTTGTGGTTGTTCATATTCATAGATTTGGGACATTTTTATCGGAGCTGTCTGTCTTTATCAATTAAGCCTGAGATTGTATATGTTGAAAAAGTTATGAGTGTACAGCTTAGGTGTACTTTGCCATCAAACTTTGTTCCTCTTTTACTTTCCTCACAGTACTCCATAATGACATCCGTGAGCACCATCTGTTTTATGCCGTTATATTTTTGAGAAACGAAGGAATTGACCTTAGATTAAAAGAATTCTCATTGGGTCCACAGGCCTCGCAGCGATGCCCACAGCCTTTTCGTTTAGCAAATGTTCAGACCAAAAACACCACGAGGCGTGAAACACGAGACATTCCAAGCGAGGAGGTGGTAATTGGGAATTCTGTTTCATCAATACCGAAATGCATCTAAATATCAAACGCGGGAAAAATGAAGATTTCACGTGGACTTTGAACATCACCGTGTCGTGATGTCACTTGAAAACATTCTCTCTGTCCCCGCGGAACCAAGCTTCGAGGTAAGAATGAAATCCCGTGCATCCAAACACTTTTGGCAAGAGAGCAACTAGCCATATTTTGGGCATCAGAGCGGGGTTTCTACGGGTTATCTTACTCATCTCATGCAAAGGACATCGTACGGCTTTATAAAGAACATACATGTCTGGCTACTCTAAATATGGAAGTGGAAAACACTCAGCTCAGCTAAGTTATATTTCATCAATTTTTGTCAAGAATAAGAGCAACTATACGAAAACAAATTATACTCGATTAAGATATGGTAGATATAAACTAACCCTGAAGATACTCAGTGGTATCAATATAGAGACAAGTTGTTTACAAAATGCCGCGTATTTCAAACATGGTACCAATAAAAGAAAACAGCAGGGAACGTTTTAAGGAGTATTATGTAAAATAACACAGATCAAACATGACCTATATCTTTTGCATAGTTGTTGTCGAACATCAAATACACATATGCTTTATACCATGGTGATTGAACAAGGTATAATAATGTAAATCTCCACCTATGCCTCTAAAAAAAAGTCCGTAACAAATGTGACCTTCTAGCATTTTCCGAGAACAGGGTTTTATTGACTTTATCAACGACATGCTATCTCCTTTTCTCTTTACACAGGTTAATCCACTTCTTTGGTCTTTTCCCTCTTCTTTAAGTAAACATTGTTCGTCCTTACAGAGGCCTTTCTTCCGTCCATAATTATCAGATTGGCTGTTCTCATTCTGGCCTGGTATTAATGATCAGCTGTAATCACTCCTGAACTTTGTGGATTTCTCTTCTTTAGCCCTTGTAGTTTCAACTATTGGCTGAAGTTTGCAAATACAGGTTTGATTCACGTGAGTGTAAATTTTACATTCGTGCTGCATGTGGTTAAACAATTTAATAGAACCATTTCTGAGAAATAGTCATCGTATCAGTCCGATCAGCCAGATTTATAAGTACAGTCGTTTGATATATGAATGATTCATGATCCCTTACAGCGGCATGCATTTAATATACTGTGTTTAACTCATTGACATGCTCAAATATCGAGCATTTATGTGGTGAAGGTTAGAAGTTCTGGCAAAACATATAACCACTGTCAAAGCAGTCTTCTGGTTCTTTTTGATTTTGACGAATCATAACGAACATCAATCTTTTTAGTCTGAAAATTTAAAGACTACTCCCTTTCACAGTACTGTACTGTACAGTACGGAGAAACTGTAATCTATGAACCTATCTATCCCTGAGATCCACCATCAGAACGAGGAGAATATCATTTGTTTGATTCCACTTGAGGATCTTACTGAATGATAGAGAATCTACAAGTTGACTCCACATAGATGAACTTCGGTCCGGTAGCATCATTCTCCACGTAGCCCGTGTTGAATAAATCTTCAAGATGAAAAAAAACTTAATCAATCATGCCCAGAACTTATTTCCAGGGTATGCGAGGATTGAAACTAATGTGGTCACTTTCGACAATCCCTTGAAGATCCTCGTGGGATTTCATGCCTTTACCCGAGGGCGCAGAAGGAAATAATTGCCATCGCGACGCTATCAGGACCTGGCCGCATTGTTGGTTTCATCCTTAATTTATCCTTGCCCATATTACTCGGTTGCTTAAGGTCAATGCAACTCGGAATGGGATTGAGAAATGATTTGAAAGAAAAAATCCCGACAGATACGCTATAAAATCCACACATAAATCGTCCTTTTTGTTTTTCGCTCGCCCCGGATTTGTTTATCAGCCTTAAAATATATCGAGACAAGGTGGACGGCGGAAGGAAGGCGAGGGCAGCTATTGTAACGAGAGGCGCGAGAGAAGGACATGCGCAGCGGAATAAGTCGAACGGAGCTGGATAGAAGAACGGAGGACAAAGGCGATCAGCACGGCACAAGAACGTCGCGAATGCTGCGTCGCGTCGCGGTCGAACTAGCGAGCGAGGCCGCGAAGTCGCCTCGTGGCTTCTTATCCATCCGCAGCCTTCGTCCTCCAGAACAAGCGACTACGTCTCTGCGGCTCTGTCTCTCTCGCTCTCTCTCGCGCTTTCTCGGTCCTACCGTACGTTCCGCCGGCTGGGCTCGTTGGGCTGGGTCCGACCGCGGGGGGCTCCGCTCCGTCTCTCGCGCAGGGCCTCGGGGTGGTGCAATTCCCGTCCCATTTCCTTCCCCGCGATTCTCCCACCGCATGGCCCTGTTGCGGCACCCCATGCCCCGCTGCCCCTGCTCTCGTCGATGGTTCTTGCCCGTGTAATTTTCTGCATTTTTCGAATGTCTCGACCGCGTCGCTTTTCGGTGCTTCTGAAGTATGTCGGCGTGGATGGGATGGAGGAGAAGTAGCATTTTGCCAGATGTTGTTTCTGGGAATTTCCATTTGGGTCGTTCATCGTGGCGTTGTGAAGTTTTGGGTGCTCTCGGTGGCAGATTATTGTTTTCCGTGTTCTGACGCATTACGTTTGCTGCTTCAGATAGGTTCGACCTAAACGTTGATGCGAATTGCCATCGTTTGGAGGTGGATGCCTTGTCGGTGTGGTGAATTATGTTCTGCGAAAGTTGCACTTTTCAGAGAGAGCACGTTCACCCGGCGAATTTCTTTCGTTTCTTGCGCGATCCTGAGGTGATTGCGGACACCTTGTTTCTTTAATATATTTCGTGTAGACCGTCGGAGACGGCGAATTCTGCAATGTGTGCTCTACAGATCGCCCTTCCACTCTGTGTAGGGCAGTCGCTGGTAGGGCGCCAGGCATTGTTAGCCGGAAGCTCCTCTTGCTCCATCTCTCGTGCACGCGTAAGATTTTGTCTCCACTCTTGCAAGGGTTTAGGGTCTCTTGGACGCGGATGGTTAGAAGTAAGTTATCTGCCAATTTCGCGTGGAAGAGTGCGTAAATTTGGTCGGTCATTTAAGACTCTACAGGTTAGAAGTTCTAGCGATGAAGTGAGGAGCAGTCAGGACTCTCAGGGGGAAGCACTTGAATCAAATTTATTCAAAGGGGAAGACGATGATTTTGCTGGGAAAGTAGAATCGGCGAGAAACCAGGATTTGGAAGCAGTGAGTAGCGGGAAGTGGGATGGATTGGTAGAAGGTGACAGACAAGTCGAGAAAGTCGGGGTGAATCGTTTTGAGAATGGGCAAAGCGAGATGGAATCGAGGAAATCCCTCGAGGATATCACTGCAGGTTCGGACGAGGTTGAGAGCAACGGTAGGGCGCTAGGAAGTAGCGTGGGCGAGCTTTCTCAATCTAAAGCAGTGTCCGGAGCCGAGTTAGCATCAGCCCAAGGTGGTGATGGGAAACAATCTGGACGGAAAAAGGCTGAGGTGCAGGTGGAGGAGGCCGGGGATGCAAAATCTCCCGTGTATGTAAGCGACTCACTTGCGCGAGTTTGGGCTAAAGTCAAGAGGAATACTATATTTCAGTTTGTTACCATGTGGCCTGCTTGGCAGCAAAAGAAACGTCTAGAAAGACTACTCGCCCAAGCCGATGCCAACCCCAAAGACCCTGCAAAGCAAGCTGCATTTCTTTCCGAGCTCTACAAGCAAAGGTATGGTCTCGTACGGCGTCCAATAAATGGTGGAATATGTCATCTTTTTTTCGTTTGGTTAATTTTAGTGACATCGTCCCAAGTCCGGAGACTCAATTTTTGAGGAAGTTTTTGTCAATTGGAAAGAGCATTTTTTGGCGTTATACCACTCTTAGTACTTGTTTCCGTCGATCTTTATGATTTCAGTATTGTAAATCATCAGACATGGTTTTTGTATAAAAGGCACGAGTTTGTACCGTGAATCCTAAAAATGTTCCAGCAAGAAAGGTCTTCTGAGATACTTTTGCTTCTTCTTACTATCATGTCATGGCTCGTATCAACCAGAAGCATGTGACATTTATAATCCTTCGCGAGTTGGCGGTGTTTTTATAAGTGTCTTAACGAAGCCACATAAAAGTCCGAGGATTGCTAGAAGTTGTAGAGTGTCCAGGTTAATTCGTAGACTATCGAGCTTTTATGGTGCTATAGAAATGACATACTATGATTCTACTAGCCTAGGTTGAATAGTGACACACTGTCTTTTTCTGATTACAGTCCCCAAGCTGTGATTGAGAGGTTCGAAAGGAGAGAGCATGCCACCGATGGTCAGTCAGTGGTAGAATATCTGCGTGCACTTATAGCCACCAACACCATTACAGAGTTTTTGCCCGACGAACGTAGCGGGAGAACTTCAGGCTTACCTGCACTAGTAAGTACACGTATTTGTTGTTGAGGGCGATGGTTCCCTTTCAGTTTCATGTAATGCCTAAGGTAAACAGATTTTTACTTTTGTCTAAAACGTGGTGTGCTCACTTTGTGCTTTTCTTCCTGTATCTAACTCGGAATATTATATTAGTTGCAAGATTTGAAGCAGAGGGCTGCTGGAAATCAGGAAGACTTGCCACCTCCTGGCATGACAGAGCAACAACCACTGCATGTAGTCATGGTGCGCTTTTTCTTCACATTAACCCTTTCGTTGAAGTGTGGAAGACATTGATCCGTCGTTGCATGCGTGATCCTTGAGTAATAATCCGTTCCAATTTATATTTAGCGGGCATAAAGAAGGAGACTCAAAGAAGACAACATGTCTCCGTTTTGTCGGCTGAAGATACAGAGGTTTCCTTGAATGCGCAGGTGGAGCCGAAGGCTTCAAACAAGTCAATGCGATTTGTGCAGGAGCTTGTTTCCACTTTGCTGTTCATGTTAGTCTTCAGCATCATGTGGTACAGACCCATCTTCCTTAAACTGCAGTCATTATAGAGGATCTGTTAATAGATTTTTTCGCTCATTCTAGAAGAACGTTCTAGTCAGTTCCAGTATTCGGTGCCAGAGAGTGCAAAGCTGCTTTGTTTGTCTTCATCTCTATGTGTCGAAGGATTTGCCCGATTACTAAATCTTGAGAGCCAGAAGAATATTTTCTGCCTCTTGAGGTTCAGCTTTATAACCATGGACACTTTCCTCATATTAGTAGCATGAGTTTCTTAAGTTGATGCGTGTTTGTCAGGGTTATGGGTGCAGCTGCGCTTCGTAAGTATGTGAATGGAGTTGCTGGCATGGGGACTACCTCAAGCATGACCTCAAGTAACATGTATGCACCGAAGGAGTTCAATAAGGAGGCAGTACCGGAGAAGGTATCTCACAAGCAGCAACCTAAACTTCACTTTTAGAATTTTGTGTTGGCCTTTGCTTCCTTCAGTTCTTACGGACGTCAAAGACGCTGACACATTTGATGTGCAAGTTCTGTTGTAGCTTTGATTACTCCTTTGCTTTATCTTATGATGTTTGCTTTCTTTGTCTTGCTTTATTGCCACAGAATGTAAAAACGTTCAAGGATGTAAAGGGCTGTGATGAGGCGAAGGCAGAGTTGGAAGAAATTGTCGAGTACTTGAAGAACCCTGCCAAGTTCACCCGTCTCGGTGGCAAGCTTCCTAAGGTGAGGACCTTATTCTCTTCTGATGGGCTGCTGCCAGTGGGCACTGGTGTCCTTATTATTATCCTGTAATATCGTTGGAATCCATTCTTGTAAAGTTGCCGAATCCGCTTCCTTTAAACCAACTGTATTTTCAGAGTGTTGATTATGGGGCTTTCTATGCATAGATTCAACTGAGTGTTTTAACGTGGAATGTTTTATTGACAGGGCGTGTTGCTGATTGGTCCTCCGGGAACGGGAAAAACTTTGCTCGCAAAGGTACCCAAGACATTGGGTTATTCACAAGAGAATTAGACTCTTTTGTATACCGAGGACTTTAGTATTGTGAATGGAGGTTGCATATATGGTTGCTCTCATAGCTTGAATACAATATACTGGTGGAAAAGCTATGCGTGGACCCAGATGCCTTGCACGTGTAGTCGATATCATATATATTAGTCCCAAATTGAAATAAAAACCTTATATATCTGATGTGTCGATAGGATTACAACTTTGACCAGGGTCTGGCATCTGCAGAGGATGGTTGGTTGTTGTTGTTTCAAGTAAAATATTTTAGTGATAGAAACAAGGCGCAGGAAATTGTTTGTATAAATTATCTCAAAATTTTACGTAAATATGTTGTCATTCCACCTTGTTTGGTGTTCAGGCAATTGCGGGAGAGGCTGGTGTACCTTTCTTCTATCGTGCAGGATCTGAGTTTGAGGAGATGTAAGCTATTGTCCTTGACTAGGTGCAAGATCCAGATCAAAGAATCGAACCTTCTGCTTGCTCCAAACCTCTCTCCACGTTTCTTTCACAGTTCTACGTATTTACAAATTTCGTCGTGTCATATCAGGTTTGTTGGTGTGGGAGCCCGTCGTGTCCGATCACTGTTCCAGGCTGCTAAAAAGAAGGTTTTGGATCCTCAATTTACCGTTGAATAATATGTCTTGTTGATTTTGTATTGTATTGTATTGAATTCTCGCAAAAACACCAACAACACGGGCTATCTCAGCTACTTTGGAAGGAAGTAAATCGAAAACTCATTGATTCTCATCTTGACGGTGACGTCTTGACAGGCTCCTTGCATCGTGTTCATAGACGAAATTGATGCAGTTGGGGGTAGCCGAAAGCAGTGGGAAGGCCATACCAAGAAAACTCTGAATCAGTTACTTGTTGAAATGGATGGTTTTGAACCAAACGAGGTATTTCTTTTTGTTCTCTCTTGTCTCATTTTCTCGTTTCGCTGCTCAAGAAGGAAACTTATGTTGGAATTAGCAGGAAGACGATTTCTTTTACGGGTTAAATGTTCTTAGAGCTTCACATGGGATTGGATGGGACACAAATCGGCATTCCGATTTGTCACTAATATCGATTTTGCATCATTCCTGGGCTCTACTTTTTATTAGTTCTTCTGGATTCTTCAATTTTAAGCCACTCCATGGTGAAATTTTTTCTGAGCAACGGCTTGGTTGCTGGTAAAAGTCATTACGCTCTGTTCTCAGCATTTCCCTCGACTTTGCTTGCAGGGAATTATAGTGCTGGCAGCAACAAATTTGCCAGAAACTTTGGATCCTGCGTTGACTAGACCTGGAAGATTTGACCGTCATGTAAGTTGGCATACACTTTTTCAAGAAATATCATCGCTGTCCGCATGTTAATGAACTGCATGAACCTCAGTGTTCTCCGAGTGTTTCAAAGCTGCGACAACAAATGCGGAAGATTTCAGGCTTCCTTAGTCTGTCAAAGATTGAGTATTATGGTGCTTGTGGTGGACTCATCCTCACCTGTCGCATATCTTTCATTGCAGGTGGTGCTCACGAATCCCGATGTAAGAGGCAGGCAAGAAATTTTGGACTTATATCTCCAGGATAAACCTCTTTCAGACGACGTTGACGTGAAGTCATTAGCTCGTGGGACACCTGGATTCAGTGGAGCAGGTATGATGTCGGGATTACAGTATTTCTGAAAATCATTGTGTCTAACACTATTTAAAGTTCTCGCTGTCAGCACTTCAGGAGGCCAAATTGTGGTGGACGCAGTCTCGTCCTGACTTTCACTTTTTCTTTCGGCAGATTTGGCCAATCTGGTGAATATGGCAGCTGTAAAAGCAGCCGTGGATGGCAACGACAAGATTTACTCAAATCAACTCGAATTTGCGAAGGACAAGATTCTAATGGGCACGGAGAGGAAGTCACTTACTTTGTCTGAAGAATCGAGAAAAGTGAGTCCGATTTTCTGATACACTGGTTCTAGCGAAGCATAATTACTGTTTTACTCGTGCTAGTTAAGTTGATCTTGGTCAAACACGTGCATTTAAGTATTATGAAGCTGACTGGATATGACGTACCTAGATTTTTTAGGAATTTTGTGTGCCTAATCAAAATAATAAACGCTAAACCGTACGCGAATATGGGTGCAGTTAACTGCCTACCACGAAAGCGGTCATGCAGTCGTCGCCTTCAACACCATTGGAGCCAATCCTATTCACAAGGCAACCATCATGCCTAGAGGGACAGCTTTGGGAATGGTGACTCAGCTACCTGAGAAGGACGAGACTTCCATTAGCAAGATGCAGTTGCTAGCTCGACTTGACGTTTGTATGGGCGGTCGCGTTGCTGAGGAGTTGATTTTCGGTGCGGACCAGGTTACGAGTGGTGCCCGCAGTGATCTTCAGCAGGCAACTGCTCTAGCCCGTCATATGGTGAGTAGACTTGCTTGTAGGCTTCTATCACAAAGCATAGGAGAGGTATCAAATCAGATTGTTGACATACACCATCGCAGGATAAGGCTTGTCTTCTTCCAAGATTTGTTTTTGATTTTGATAAACTTACTCATGTCATATAACTGCTGGCAGTGACGCATGCATAGTAGAAAATATGGGCAGTATCAAGGAGGATATGTCTTCCTTTCTTGAGCCTGTTCGTTCCCAGGACAACAGAGGGAGTAAGGCTGACCTCGTTTTAACTTTTCATAAAACAGTCTTGACACATTAGCCCTGTGAATTTATGGTTTTCAGGTATCTGAATGTGGTATGAGTGATCTCATCGGTCCAATTTTTGTTGACACTGAGTCACAACGACCCAGTCATGATATACAGAAGAGTATTGATGCCGAGGTAACGTCTTCATTTAGCTGGTGTAACGTTTTCGTTGCTTCTTTTACACATGGCAACTGATAGAGCCCTATGTCTCGTGCAGGCTTACGATTGTTTATTTATCTATCTTGTAATTACTATTTTGGGCATGATGATTATTGTCCTTTTCTTTGCAGGTTGTGAGATTATTAAAGGAAGCCTACGAAAGAGTAAGGAAACTGTTGAAAAAGGTATTTTTCTTCTGTCAACAGCTCAGCACCTTCTCTGCTTGGTCAGCTGCTTTATTCTTCCAACAACCTCTTGCGTCTTAAGGGGAAAGTTCTATAACTGCTTTCAAATACCTTTTCTATGCAGGTTGCTGTACTTTTCTTGCTTTCTTGGACCAGGTTCTGTTTTGATTAAAGGCACCTCCGTCCGTTTTGTACTAACTATCGGCTTTTGTACAATGCGCAGCGAGAATCGGATTTGCATTCTTTAGCAAGGGCTCTTCTAGAACATGAAACTTTAAACGCGAAGCAAATCACGGATATTTTGGGTCCGATCCAGCAGCAACAGGAGGAACCAGCTATTGTTGGAGTTTCTAGTAACTGAATCAAACTGCTGGTTGTATAATCCCATATGCCTGTACCCCATCCTAGTGTACATTTTGATGTTATATTTTGGGCAGCTCACTCACGCAAGAACTAGGCTTTGGGAGGAAAGCATTGTGTAATTGCAGTAATCTATTCTTCGTAGGTAGAAAAATCTATTTTCACTCCGCAGCGGTGAAGGTAAGAGAGGTCGTCGGTCTCGGTTCATCAGCTTCTAATGGCTGCCACATGTGGGGGTCTCCTTCCACTATGTATGCCTCATACATGCAACCATAATGCAGGGAAGTCTTGAAAGATATCTCAAAAGTCTGTTGTCATCGCTCTATTTGTTTATGGAAGTATCCAGTATATCTACCCTCCTGTGGTCGAAAAATTTGTAGAAATACCTGTCTTCACTTATAGGGAAGTCTTGAAAGAGATCTCAGGAGTTCGTTTTCATCGTTTTATTTGTTTCTGGAAGTATGCGGTGTTTGTACCTCCTATGCGCGTAAGATTCGTAGAAATACCTTTCTTCACTAACAACTTTGACGCGTCTCCGTGATTACCGAGTGTTGTGTTGTTTTTATATCAGTACATGTAACCTACAATTGCCGTTCGAGCCGCGACACAACCTGGTTGGTTGCACCGCTCAGTGTGTATCAAAGTCAACGTTTTCAACCTTATGTACTCGGAGAAACTTCATGGTATGTTGAGAACAACCTGAAGGTTGTGAGCAGGTGCTAGCCACGAATGAACCTGCGCGGAAGAAAAACGAACTATGAACCGACTAATACTTTTGCTAGACAAGAGATGTGTTTCCCAGAGGTTAGCCGCAATGGTAAAAGCACCGAATGGACTTCGAAGAAAGAGTGGGTGGAGTAACAAGGATGTTCTGTTATAAGCGCATGCCTGTCGATTAAACGTGTACCTTATCACTACAAAAAATTTCGGTCCACAAAGTGACTGGAGGTACGACATCGTCATATCACCTCTTTTTGTCAGCCAACTTGACCTAAAGTCGGGGTACAACACGTCTTAGAGGAACTTCTGAAGGTTTGATCACTAAATCTGACACCGCTAGTAAATTACAAACGAAGTTTGCGAGGTGCAGTAGCCAGTGTCGCATGCTACTTGATTCAGTGAAATCAGTTTGATTCACCTGATGTCGATGATTGTCACGCAGATCTTTCGTCTGAGATACTGTAATTGCATGCTTTGCCACATGGGACATTTGCTGCCAACCCTCGGGAACATGTTCATGAATCATCCAAACCAGACATGGCTGTACCTGCTAACCGGGGAGTATATGTGTGGAATCTGTAATTTCAATCTACGAGAAGATATTGCAGCTGATTCTTTGAGAATGTTTGCTCTCATTTGACGGCGACGAAATGTTTTAGTGACACACTACACTTACGGCAAGACAAACAGCACTCTGCTGGAGCAAAGTCGTAGTGAGACCAACGGAGCAGTAAGAACACATCGAACGGAGAATACACCTGTAATTAGAAAAGGCTGTATGAAACAAGTCCGTCTACTTCAAAACTTCATTTAGTCATTAAAAGCATCAGAAATCACGAAAGAAATATCTGGAGTGAGTGAGTACCCACACATTCGGTAAGAAATAAGAGGAGATTCTACAAATTACGTGAATCCAATCTCTTCGGGATTCACGAGTGCGAGATGCACGTCTCGCCAGTTGGATAAATATGTCGAAGAGGACAGTTTCCACGAAGCGGATTTATCACCAGTCGAGTGCAGACATGATAATCTCCCGTGTGCCAAAATAATGTCGCTAGAACATTTCCATCACAATTCTGGAAACGAACCTGGACTTGTTCAGAGTGCTTAAAATTTGGCTCCAGGCTACCAACTCAATATTCTAAGTGGGCCTTTATCATCAGGCCTATTGTGTATCATTACCCTTATGATTACGCCTGGATGGCCATAAATTGTGCATTAAATACCTTTCGTGCCATTTTTGAATGCACAATCAACTTGAATCCATTCTCATTCCTATATGACGAGTTTTTTGCATCTTTATGCTCTAAAAATACATCTTTTACAACAAACTTGAAAACATTAAAAGGTTTGTGCCGGAGCAACAGACAGATAATGTCCTTGCGTTCTCCTATATTTGAGGATTTTGGTTGCAGTTGTTACTACGCTCACTTTCAATCCAAAATATCGAATAGTAAATCCATTCCAAATGTTTCATGCTCTTAAATTTGGTTGTATTTGCTACTCCACTCACTTTCAATCCAAGAAACTGAGTAATAGAAATTTCGCATGCTCTTGTATTTGAAGATTTTGGTTGCAATTGCTACTCCATTCAATTTTCAGTTCAAGTAAATGGATGGGAACTCCATTTTAATTGATTCTATGCTTTTATATTTGAAATTTTGACTACGGTTGCTATTTCAATTGCTTCCAATCCAAGACATTGAAAACTAATTTCTTTTTTATCATGTCTATTGAAGTATTTGTAATCACTAGATTCTCAACAGAAACTTGATCTCCAAATCACATCTTAACTTTGTCTTGCCCTAGTTGACAGCACTACAAAACAGCCGTAGTTCATATGAGATATCCATTTCAAATCACCTTGAAAACATCACAAAGCTCAAGCCATCATGGTTACCCATTTTTTAACTTTAAATTGACATCCCAACACATCAAAACGTGCTACATTCAAAGAGATCTGGCCGCCACAATTTTAAAATGAATATGCAAATGGAAGTATTAAGCATACATTTCATATCATATGTTAAAAACACACACTTGTATACATTGAAAAACTGAATAAACACTTTCACTTCAACGTTCAACTTAACTATGCATTAAAGTTAATTTAACCTCTCAAGGTTCCATACTGGTTGAAGTGAGAGCATAAAAAAAATTCTTCATGTTCAAATAACTGGATCCACAAAGACTGAATGAAAAGTTTATAAAACAAGAAACGCATGAAATTAGATTTAAAGAAACTAGATTTACATCACACTCAGTAGTTGTATATTCATATTAACATCTATCTTCTAATGACAATCACAAAATAAATTATATGTAACTGCTTGTATAGTAAAATTTAGCATGTGATAAATGTTGTAATCTATATCAATAATAGATTTAGTTTGAATTAATGTTAGCAAAAAAAAAACCTTACAATACATCTTGTCACAAACTTAGACTTTTTGTGCCTGATGTCATTTATAGGTATGGATTATATGTATTTGAAACATGTTCTGGCGTGATGACAAACATGAAAATTTGAAAACCCTTGTGAAATTATGTAGATTATTGGACATCAATGAAAAAGAATACATCAAAAGTCACTGCTGGATTTCTTTTTCATAATTAAAATCACTTAATGTTCAACTCATTTGTGAGCCTTTCTGTACCTATACAGCTGAAGAAATTTCGTATATTTCCATCAGAATGCTTCACATTTTGATTCTCTTGACCATGTTGAATATAAAAACTTGATTTGATATGTAACCATTATCAGTATTATCTGCACGCTAAAATCTCAAATTATTGAGATGTTATTTCAAATATTTGCTACACATGATTCATAGCAAGATTTGTTATTAAATAAGATTTTTAAAATATATATTTAATTAAGATAAGTAGTGAATGAGATTATATTATTAAATTTTGCAAATTTCAATCATGATAAATTATTCTATTTTTATATTTAATATAGATTATATAATACGTATCAAAATTTTAAATTGAACTTCAAATTTAAATTATTCATAAACTTTTTTCAAGATTACATGTATGTGGAGAATTAATTTTAATATTCGATCATGATTTCTTCTTAACTGAAAGTTTAATAATAATTTCATTATGATGGCAAGATTAAAGGTTGACTTTACACTGTTTGTTATAAAATATTATCTAAAAGATTATATCCATATATAAAAACTATGATATTATATCAAGTATATACATTATCGTCACATAATTCATTATCATATCTTATAGCTCATATGATTAAAAATGAAAGTATGTTTACATATCTAAATATAATGTACACAAATATTCTAGATAGATTTTCAAAACGTATCAAACATATTAATCGCAACAATATTTGAAAGTGAATATTTAAATATTTTACTTCATTTATCATGAATTTTTTTCATTTATCATTTTGATCAAAAAATATCTAGCTATTTTGCATCACGTAATAATTTTTGAAATAATATTGAAATAATATTTAATATTTTGAATAATAAATCATATTCAATGAGTTGGACATATCTATCATCACGTATATCAATTAATAATTTAATGTCATTTCTTCATATCATAAGCTTCATTAGGATGATAAAATATTAACAATTTGCTAAAATCTAGGCATAACGTAATCCCTGTATGTAATGATATTCAATGCAATTTTCTCCAATATTTTGTTAGAAAAAAATTAATTTTTGTCAGACAGTTAATACATCAAGATGATTAGAATAATAAGAATTGATTATTCATCAAGATTTTTTATTTTTTTCATGAAGTTTATCTTCAATTGCAAGATTTTTTTTATCGTATCTTTCTTTTATCGAAATGGATTAAACAGAAATTTTGTGAGATTTCATAATGAACACAAACATCTTTTGGAATAAAGATCTCACATTCAATTTCAAGTCAAAACCTTGATATCTTTGGACAAAAAATTCTACTTCAAATCTAATAGATATGAATTTTGGAAGCTCTTTTTGGTATCAAAACGAATCAAATAGAAAACTGGTGATTTTCAATTCATTTTCAAATCAAAATGAATTGAAAACTCATATTCACTCATGTTTTCAATTCGATTCTACCTTTATATCAGATTTACTATTTCTTTGCAAAGCCAAAACTACCTAAAAACTAAATCAATTGACTTAAAATTTGATACTTACATGTGCATCACATTGTTTTAAGTTTTTTTTGCTACAATGATTTTCTCAAAAAGCTTGTGATGTTCTAGTACACATCCAAAATAAACTTCCGCATGTGGACTTCACTATCATCTTCAATACAAAATCCCAATCGCTATTTGAGATTAATTATTTTATATTACGTCACCATGAGCTGATAAGAATGTTACGTTGAACTTATTTTACTCGTCTCTCCAAAATTCTTTCTCAAATCCAGCAATAATAAAGCTCTCTTGCCTGTCTAATGAACTGTCTCTTGTTCTTTTCACTCCATCCGTTATCCGTCCATTTGAGTTTGTAGCATTTTTTCCATTGACTCATGTATTTGTCTTATATGTCTATTGCTAGTTGTCTCGTAAACTTATCTCAGTCTTGTTATTTCATGCTTTTGAAAGTCGCCATCTTATAATAATCTTGTCACCTCATGCTTATGGAATTCGCCACGTCATTGTGATTCTTCTCTTCTTACCAACATCCATTTAATCATCATTCGTTTTGAAATTTAATTACTTCTTTTTGTGGTATATTTTGGCTTCACGATTTGATCACTTTGGTTCATTTGAGTTTTAAGTTTGGCAATTTTTATGTTCATCTTTTAGATGACTTTCTATCATCACACTATCAACTTTAGTTTTTCCTTATTAGTTTGTCTCACCATTTTAGGTTTATTCGTACAAGCATCTTACCACTTATATAGGAAAATTTTAACCAATTTTTTTTCACTTGTAAGACAATCTTCAAATTAGTTTTTTTAGCGAGAATGAACATCTTCAAATCAGTTTCATTTCAATAGTAAAATCATCTTTGTAGCACATTTCTTTCACTAGTTTGATCATCTTCGTATCATTATTTTTCTAGTGAGTGACATCATCTCCGTATAAGTTTTCCCCCACTAGTAAGATCATCTTCATGTAAATGTTCTTTCACTAGTAAGACCATCTTTGTGGTAGTTTTTTTCCACTAGTATAACTATTGGTTTTTCTTTCTAGTACTAGGATCTTCGTGGCGGTTTTTTCTCACTAGTAAGAATTTGTTGGGATGGATGACTCGAGCGGAATATCCGAAGCATGAGATAGCTTATGGGTCGGATGCGATGGCAGGACAAGGTCTTTATATCATCCCATCCACTCGTAGTCGTGACCAGGAATCCTAATGCGGTTCTATCAGAAGAACTGAATGGCGTCATCTAAACATTGGCGCATGCGTCTGTGCGCAATATGGTTTCAACAATAAGTTTTTGCATTTTTTTAATATTTTTGAAGAATACACTTTCAGAAGTTTTTTTATATTTTTTTAAGATCCGCAAACAAGTCAGCGATATTCTCAGTTTTGAAAGTCGACCGTTTGATCTGTCTCACAAAGACAGATTTATGAAATTCAGGCTAAATGAAATGTAATTGATAGACTTTTTAAAAAGAAGATATGGAGCTGGCAACCGACAAAATGATCTTCAGTCCTGAGTTTCTAGATGCTCCATAAGTTCAGTAGATTGAACAAATGGACGTGCAATACTTCGCATGCGCAACAGAGCCTTTTGCTTTTGCCTTTTGCCTTTTGCCAAGACATTAGTTCATTCCTCTTGACTCGGCAATACTGCGAGGTTCACAAATCTCTTGCAAGCTGCACGCAAATTGGTGTGATCAGAGGCCGGGAATTCCAAAAGATTTATACAGTAGTTAACTGGAGATTTCCCTGAGCGCAAGCGTGGGAAATTGCAGCACAAATAAGGGAGGAGGTAAACCTGCATCTCTCAAGATGCTGCTGGTCGGAGACCCGATGAGATGAGGTGCAAATATCAACGCCTCTTCTCATCTCCAGACTATCAAAGGCTCCTTAGTCGACCCGCTTTTTGACACTCTGTTCTTGTTTGCACTGTGGTTCTTCCTGCTTAGCATCACGATTATTTTTCTGATAGTCGACATTTGTTTTCGGCTTGAAAGAAGAGTATCAAGGGGACACTCTGAAGACGCCAAAATTGAAGCGGAAATTTCCATTCGCACTCGCAATCATCGGTCTGGCCATATGCAAGCAATGGAGAGTCACCACG